TTCTGATTTCCTCAGCAAGGGTCACTGAAGTCAGGCTCACTAAAAGTTTATGAAGCATAAAATGTGCATAAGAAGCAAGCAGCCACTCAAGCTTCAAGGAGTGAGCTTTCGGGGGCATTGCTAATTCATTCTGAGACATTCACTGGGGCATAGCTCAAATTAATTTGTTAAGTTATGACCTGATGGCAGAAAGGGTTAGTAACATTCATTACTCTGGTGTAAATTTACTCATAGTTTATTTAATGGTTGGTATTGGATTTTATTCTTCTTCTTCTGCATTTGTGTGTGTGTGTGTGTGTACATAGGATTTCCTTGACTTCTCACTATTTTTTCTGCACTTTATCCCTGGAATTATTTCTCACCAATTCTACCCCCTAAAGGACAATTGTCACCATGTACATTGTTTGGTATTTTAACACTCAAACTGGGTCTGTTTATGTGATGAGCAGTGTGAGGTTTAAGAAACAAAACCAGATAAATCGCCCTCAGTTTTATTTACAGTGTATAGGACAAATGTCATCCACAATGATGCTGGCCGACGATGAGACAAGAAACCTGGGACATACTGGCCTTTGGAATCATTCAAATTCTAAATTTCCGCGCATTTTTATGAGGACTAAGTTAATATTGAGGATATGTGAGCAGGATACCCAAGTAGCCCTAACTGTTCTTTACATAGCAAAAACATATTCCTGGTGGTGAATCTGCTATATTTCACTCATTCATCCCATAATGGCAGAAACTCAGTTTTTTGGTTTGGAAGACTGTTTTGTTTTGGTCCTTTGTTTTTTGTTTTTGCCGCAAGCCATGCTGCCAGAAATATGTAAGCAGATTTTCTTTCTAAAAGACAGGCAATAGGAACCAAGCAGAATGTTGTTATAAAACATAGAGTTTGTATTGTTTTTCAAAGCATGTAAGAGATTTTAAAAGGAAGATTCTCTTGTATGAATATAAGATATCTGTATGAATATAAGACATCTGCTGTTTAATGTAAGGATGTTTCTTGTTATTCTTGTGATCACTCCAGGTGCTTTGGGGAAACTGTACTGGTTGGACATCACTCGGGGTAGGGAACTCACATTTATACTTGTAGAGCGGCCCTGGCCAGTTTAGTTACTACTAGCCACATGTGGCTATTCACATTTAAAGTAATTACACTTAGATACAATTTTAAATTCACTTCCTCAGTCACACTAGCCACTTATCAATAACCACTCATGGCTAGAGGCAACCATGTCAGACAATACAGACATGAAACATTTCCATTCTGGCAAAAAGTTCTATCGGGCCATGATGGTTTACAGATAGGAATGCCAGCACCCAACTGTCTACGTTCAAATCACCACTTTTTCTAGTTTACTTGTTATGTGACCCAGGGAGGTTGCTTGACCTCACTGGGTATCAATTTCTTTATCAATTAAATGAGCTTAAGAATAGTCCTTACTTCGATGTTTCTTTCGTAGATTAAATGTTAAGAGTATTGATAAAGTGCTTAATAGCTTGCCTGTGACATAAGCGCCCAGTAAATGGAAGTTATTAATCTTTTCCTAGTATTTGATAATGTCTTTTCTTCTTCTTGAAGGCAGAGGTCTTTTATTTGTGTTTGTTTGTTTAAAGCTAGTATCTGCAAGATATGGTTGGCCAGTGTCTACCTCAAGAAGCAGAAGGCAGTGTTGGGGGCTACAGAAAACCCCTGTGTGTCAGTCTGGTGATTTTTTTTTTTCTTTTTATAAGCTGTCCCTGAAAAACATGATAGAATTTGTTTTACTTCTCTTCTGCCAGGAAGTAACCCTTCTGGCTTTGTTAGGAGCGTGGTTTGTAATAATTGTACCCACCCCAGATGGCTCCTGAAAACCCTTTGAAATGCCATCTGCCAGGCGTGTGTCCAGCCAGCAGCCTGTCATTCTACTGGAAGAAAAGAGGAGGCGGGGTCCCCTCCCAGGCCCTTTTCTCCCCAGAGTCACTGAATGGAGCCTGGTCTTGTTGGCACAGACCCAGGGCGGGGTGCTCGGAGGATAACTGGGAATAAGCCTCCTGCTAGTCTGCAGAGTGGAAAGGTTTTGTCTGGGTAATAAACCCTGAAGGTTTTGTGGGTGGAGACTTAACCACTCCTCATCCCCTTCTCCTGAAGCTTAAAGGCCTTTCTGACCATATTTATTTACATGGGAAAGTTGGATCTGTTAGTTCATGTTTCCTCTAAAATGTAGCATTTTTGAAGTTGTTGATTATTTTTAATCCTTTCAGGAAATTAAGACCTGGTAGTGATTATTGTCTTTAAAATAAATCTGACAAATTTGTTCTGAAACCATGGTTGAAAGAAATGGCAAAGATAATAAGGCTACAGAAAGGAGAAATAAAATCAACACTGTCTGGCTTGGGAAGGCTAAAAATCCAATAAATCTTACATTTGGTTTTATTTATCCTCATCTTTTTGGGAGGCAGAGTGGGAGGACAGATTCAGCAAATGGACTTTCGTATGGAGGCTGTGTGTGAGAGTTGCCATGGAATATATTTATGACAGACCCTTTCACCGCAAGTTTCAAAGAGATTCTATTCTTGCTCTGCACTGGAGTTTCCTAGTTTGCAGCACACTATTTTGTGCTTTCAGATAGCTGGCTGAATAGCATTTTCACTTGGCTCCAAGACCTCACACCCTCTTCCTTTGCCCTGCCTTGCTGACTGCTGCCTCTCAGTTACCTCTGAGCATCTTTTCCTTTCTCCCAGTTTCTATAATTTTTAATTTACAAGGCTCAACTTTCGTGGCTTCACTTTCAGTGTTCTCACCCTAGATTATGGTTTTCTGTCTCTTATCTTCAGATTCTAGTGGTCTGCTGATTATCCTCATGTTTACATCCCAGCCTCCACTCTCATCTTGAGACTCAGGTACAGTTTGAGCTCCCGATGGCGAGGCATCTGATAGGTATCTCAAACTTCATGGGTCAAACCAAAGGAACTTTTAATCTGAAACTACTTTCCCAATATCTTGAACTCTATAAATGGCACAGCCCAAATATTCAGGTCAAAAAATAAGGTGGCTGTCACTTGTCTTCTGATTTTCTTACACACTGTATCCACTGCATCAGCAGATTTTTCTTCAAAAGTTTTATCTGGCACAGTTGATAAACTGATGGGATTTTTTTCTTTTCAGTTGGATAGACTTTCTTACATTATTTAAAATATTTACATTTTGTGATAGAACCCTTATCTTTTTTTTAAAAAAATTTATTTATGCATACAGAACTGGGTTACAGGCCAGAGGTGCAGGGGCGGTGAGAAGATTCACTAGAGACAGAGTGGGGAGCAGAACAGGCTGACTGACAAAGTACAATGCTGAGGGGAGCAACGGGTGGGTCAGGAGAGGTCTGCCACGCCATGGGTATCACCTCCAGGGCAGGGATCAAGCTACATGTTGGAGAGCCAACCCATGAGCCCATTATTCTCATGTTAGATCTATGCTCATCAACAGATACACTTTATGTTTCTGCAGTACCTACTATAGACTTGACACTGGAGTTATAATTTTACAAGGTATAAGGTACTTATCCTCTGGTGAGGTAAAAATGAGGACAGATTCAAAAACAGGACAAGAGTAGATTCTGAACATGACACAGACAGGCTTCTTTACCAGAACAGTAGCAGTAGGAGCATCATGTGCAAACTTTTGTATTACCACTGTCCTATGGACAACTTGCAATATTTATAACACTCAAATTTCAGATCCTACACAAATTGGGTTCACACAAAAAAGTGTATTTAGTCTCAGTAATAAAATATGCAAAAGTTTTGAGTTTCTCACCTCAGCATTCTGTATCTGTATAGGTATGTGGCCATGATCATTCATGTGGGCACACTATCAGAGACTCTACTGTGTAGGATATTTAGAGCAACAAGGTACATGCTTTTGGTTGGTTACTCTAAAGTTCCTAGAAATAGGAGGAAATCCACACTTATGTTCCTTGGAGTAGAAAAAAAAATCCTTATTTATTACATAGGAAACACTGACCCGAAAGAACCATAGGTAACAATTGGTGTCTTGGAAGTAAGCTATTGTTGATCAGATCCCTAACTTGACTATAGCAGCAGCAAAGATGCTTTGCCCTTTTTTGTCTACTATGATTTTTAATATATTGGTTCCTTCTATGGCATATATAATTGCTTCTTCTTTATTTCTTCTTTTGACTTTTTTTTTTTGTAAACTATAATCCTCCGTTGCTTCTGTTCTTTCAATTGAAATTGAGCTGAAATGATAATACTACAGCCAGCACCTGACTTGGAGGAAGTAAATACTGTCATTTCTATTATTTCCTAAGAGGAGTTATTCTATTTATTAGTTACTGAGAAAGTGACCAGATTAAGTGGAGATTTTTCCAGCAAATGTAATGTCCTTTCTCCACAGTTAGAATTTATGGGTGGCCTCTTTTTTACCAAACATATTAATTACATGGAGAGCAGCAGCATTTTAATCCCTGGGAGATGTCTAACCACAGATCTTGAGCAATCGCATTTCTCTAGTGATGTGTTTATGCAGTGGGTGTCATTTTCTTCAAAGGGCTTATTACATTAGAACTTGCCGGATGTACCAAAGAACACAAGAATTTCGAGGTCTGTGGATAAAAATATAAACCCCTTAGGCTCCGAGCTTAAGGTGGATAACATCTTAGTATTTACTAGCGTCCTGAAAGCTGCTGATTGTGAATGTTTTTTGTATGCAGCTCACCATTTTTATTCAGTACATTTTTAAAAAATGACAGTACGCTTCCCAGGTTACCTAGCTGTGCTTGGTTTCTCTTTCTGTTCTTTGAAGCGTCCTGGCACCGGTGGGTAGAGTGAGGATGCTGTTCTATTAGAAAGAAGTTGCCTGGTCCCTGTCTGGGCAGATAGGTCTGCAGGATCTTGGGTTGTCTAACTTACTGAACAGGTTATTTTAATTACACCTAGATGAAGTGCTTCTTACTTTAGTTGACTGATGGTTTCTCGTGCCTTTGTCTCGTCTGCTGCAGGCACAACCCGATCTCCAAGAGAAGGAGAAGTGCCTGGCGTGGACTATAACTTTCTGACTGTGAAGGAGTTCTTGGACCTTGAACAGAGCGGGACTCTTCTGGAAATTGGCACGTATGAAGGTGAGCTTGTCTGAATGCAGCAGCAAGGGCTCCTGTCTCCTGGGCTCCTCAGCAGAATCAGGACCATCTAGGCTTCTTATGAACAAGAGAAGACTAAAAAAGCAATAGAGGGTACAGTTGACTGTACTGTGTTAGTAATATTAATACAATACATGAGATAAGATTTTTGGGGTGCTCTTTAAAATTTTTTTTTCTTTCAGGTGTTTTCTCTTGATTTTTTTTAATGGAAAATGAATTGTCTTTTAATATGGGCTATTAGAAAAAGTAAGAAAAATCAAGGTCAATTACAAAATGTTACCTTATCATTAGTTTTTTTTAATCTTCAGGGAACATCATTTTTTTTTTAAAGATTTATTTATTTATTCATACAGAACTGGGGTACAGGCCAGAGATGCGGAGGGTGAGAGGATTCACCAGAGACAGAGTGGGGAGCAGAACAGGCAGATCGACGAAGTACACTGCTGAGGGGAGCAGCGGGCGGGTCAGGAGAGGTCTGCCACGCCATGTGGTCACCTCCGGGGCAGGCGGGAATCGAACTCATGCGGAAGCGGCTTTAGATTCTCAGTGCTGTGCTTTAACCCGCTGCGCCACCAGGGAGGGCCGGGAACATCATTTTTAACCAATTACTGGCTTCTAGTGTTTAATTTTGAGTAAAAATTGTACTGCTCTAAAATTTTGTTACATAAAATGCAAGCAGGCATATGTGTGTGTGTGTGTATGTGTGCATATTACATATATATATATATATATATATATATATATATGTACACATATAATTTGTGTGTCTCCCCACTCTGTCTTTGGTGACTCTTCTCACACACATCCCCACCTCTGGCCTGCACCCTAGTTCTTCTTTACATAAATAAAAATAAATCTTAAAAAAAGTATATTGTATCCTCTGTCTCAAATAATAACATTCTGAAAAATGTACTAAGTTATTTTAAATGTAAATTTAATTTTTTTCTCTTACATTTGGCATTGACCTTGCAACTCTACATATGGGATCTCATCCACACACAAGTGTGTTTTTGTGTGTACTCTTTCCTCCCTGTTTTGTTCAAAAGGTACCATTCCAACAAGGTGGTACACAGAATGAAAATCATGTTTTTTTATTTACTAGTATGTCTCTTGGGTCTTTGCTCTTTCCTATGATCTTATTTAAGTGGTTATGTAATCTCTTCGTACAAGCATACCATAGTGTGTATGCTTCCTTGTGTATAAATATTCAGTCATTTTCAATTTTTAAATTTCAAAACTTCTGCTCCAGCAAAAAGCATAGATCTGTTACTTGGAGCAGAACAGGCAGGTTGACGAAGTATACTGCTGAGGGAGCAGTGGGTGAGACAGGAGAGATCTGCTACACCATGTGGGTCAGCTCCTTGGCAGGGGATTGAATTCATGCTGCAGTGGCTGGCAATAGCTTCATTGTGCTGAGACTTAAATCCCTGAGCCACCAGGGAGTCCCAGGTTTAAAATTCTTTTAGCTGTGTCATATTATTAACTTGGTTACATTATTATGCTATGTGTACCTCTTTATAAACTCAAAATTTGGATTTGATGATCAGTCATAGGGACATTTTCAAGATTCGACTTAAAAAAAATGATGAATACACAGTCAGGTCTTATAGCTTGGAGATAATAAACTGTGGACTAGGCAATGGCTAACAGTCAGGTGATGACCATGAATCTTAGGCATCTTGATTCTGCTTTAATTTACACCCTGTAGAAGAGGAAAGGAAAGAATATTATCATTATACGTGCTACCCATTTCTTGTGAATATGCATGGAACAGTGTTTAATGTTAATCTAATGCCTGATTGTAATCTAATTCTTGATTGTAAATATTTCCTCTCATTATTGCTAATTATCAGTTGCATATGCTTTGTGCAGGTGTTTGGGTAGTTGATGGTCTGGAGGAATCTGAAACCATCCCTAGAAACAACAATTCAGTAAGGTTTGGGGGTGAGATGAGGGGAGAAAGGTGCCTGAGTGGATATACCAGGAACTTCTTCAACATGTTGTCTTTTTCACACGAATCTATTAAAAATTGAAGTGACTTGATAACAGAAAAAGTGTGAATCCTCTTTGTTAGGAGAGCGTCAGTTGAGCTCATCTAAAATCATTCACCATGTCCATCTGGGGAGTTTGAGTTCCCTTATATAAGAAAATACATATTTGCATTTCTGGAGAGATCAAAAGTGGGACTGGTTGACAAAGTCAGAAAAGTGTTGGTTTGAAAAGGAAAATCAAATTGTGTGACTTAGGCAACAATTTATTTGTGTGGTGGAAAAGGAAATAAATCCATTTTATTAAGATATTTGCATTATAGGTTTTTTGTAGGTGGAGTCATTTTGTCTTCCATTTAATTTTATGACTTCAGCAGCGGTACCTATTATCACCAGATTTCTAGACAGAGTTGTTGAGGCCAGGTAGTATTTAGGAATTTTTTCGAGATTATAAAATTGTTTCTACAACAGTAGAGTCTAGAACAAAGCCAGCTTAGTTCAACTTTCAGATTCCACACTCTTTCCTGCAAACCCTAGGAAGATCCTGAATTAAGAAAAAGTTGTAGGAATAAGACCATTCCTACTTTAACCTAACTTGCTGGTGTGGTGTATCAGGGAAATGCTTTTCATAGAATGTATGATCATCTTATTTGAAACTATCTGAACATCGCTCAGTTACTTGCAAGTTGAAATTTTCTCAGGCCCAGGATTAATCCATTCCATTTTTAAGCCATGTACAGCATTCCTCAGCCTTTGACCTTTAACTGTATAAGTTCCCTACCTTATAAAACAACTCATCCTTTTGGGAGTCAACTGCAGTTTATTATTATTATGTTGACTCTTAAAAGCTGAAAGCAAAAAGGAATTTTTATGAAATGCCAGGTAGTGTTCTAGGAATGGGGCTGGGTACACCTTGAGAGCACGTCCTCTGTCCTCCGTCCTCCCCTGGACCCGCCCTGCCAAGGTAGCTGCTGTTGCTCGGACACTGAGGAGCACACAGGCCTGGCTGTGGCCCTGCCCGAGACTGAACCTCAGCCTCTCTGCTGTTGAGCCGGGTGCCCGCTGGCAAGTGGCTCCATGTCTCCATTCTCCCTTCACTAAAATGAGAATAATAATAGTGTTTCCTCATAGGTAGGATTAAATGAGACAATAACTGGAAAGGGCTGAGCACAGCGTCTGACACATGCAAGCTCTCAATCAGCCTGGCTTTTATATTTACACACACGACTGGCCTGAAATTGCCGCCCTAGTGGATTCCTTCCCCCTTCCTTTAGTCAGTAAACTGGTGAATTTGCCAATAAAATATCTTTATTTACTTCCTAGGTACTTACCATCTTTTTTCCCTGCTCTTATATATATATATATTTCCCCAGTAAGAAAAAATTATGCTACCAAACACACGATTGAAAGCCACAAAGCCCACAGTTTAAAGCAAGTCACTTAAAACATTTGTGAAGAAGAATAATTGCACACGATGGAATATTTCATATAGTAAAGAACTTAAAGAGTATTTAAACCAATACACGAAAACACTGTTAAAGTGAACAAGCAGTTTTCCTCAGTTAATCACAGAAATAAATGTGCTTGTAAGTAGGAGAGTCTCTAAAGTTAAAGACCATGGAGTTGAGAGTGACTGAGGTGAGCTGTGATGGGTGAGCTGAAGTTGGCTCCAGAGAGTCGCTAGACTTAGAGCAAGTGGTATAAGCTCTTGTCTTCTTGTTTATTTTACTCTATTCTTGGCCTTTGTGTTTAACATTTCTTAGAGCTCTTTATGCGTTACCTATAGAGTTCCAACTCACTCTGCAACTGTTGCACATCCTCCCAAGATGTGAAAGTGCGTAATTTATTTAGCTATCCACTGATGCAGGTGCACATTTAGAGTCTCCCCACCCCCTTATTGAGGTTTTGCAAATACTGCTGCAGTGGACATCTTGCCTAGATATCAGTATGCTATTTTGAATGTGTCTATAGGATAAGTTTTCAGCAATTGGCTTGTTATTTACATTTCAAAAGGACAAATTTATTAGGAAAAGGGCATCATCACAGGCGGGCAGAGAGCTGCACCTGGCAGTGTGGTTGGAAAGCACAGCCTTCCATGTGCGCACAGCTCATTTCAACAACTATTTATTAAGTGTTTCCTTAGACATTCTCCTCAGGCAGGGCATGCGATATATAGGGCAGAAGACCAAAACAGCTCTGCTTTCGCAGGTGTTTATCTTTCTTTGTTATTTTTGTCAACATTTGTCCAGTGTATCCAATGTGCTGGTGTTCTTCAAAGTCCACTGTACTCACCAACTCATTTCATTCCCCAAAGTCCCTTCAAGCATGTACTTCTTAATCCCCATTTTACAGACAAGTTGTCTAAGGCACAGAGATGCTAGTCAGCTGTCTTCTCCAAGTTCCCTTGGTGAGCTCAAAACAGAGACAAGATTCAAATGCAGGTTGTGTGGCTCCAGGGCAAACACTCTGTTCCCACAGTCTGGGGAGTAATTACATTTAAAGTTTCAAAAGAAGTGATGAGTATGGCTAGGAGGGGACTTTGGGTTTGCACCAGAAACAAATGCCCAGGGCACTGCCTCTAAGCTTATATCAAGAAACACCCCCCACACACACCACCACCATGTGGAGGTGACCTTTGAACTGAAGCTTGTAGGGATAGCTTGAGTTCAGCTGAGAGGCTGGTGTCCCTGTTTTAGTTTTGACTTCAGCACTGGCCATGAATGTCATGAGGCAGGAGATGGAGCCCTGCCTGCTTCCTGTTGACCGGGTACTGTCTGATAGCCTTTCTGCAGTGGTCAGTCTTCTGAGCTTGCCAGTGTAGCGGCCACTAGTCACATACATGTTGCTACTGTGACTTTAATTAACTAAATAGTCACTTGTGGGTGATGATTGCCAGATTTTACAAAGCAACTCCAGTATAGCAACCTCTGAAAGGAAGAGTGAAGACCTATTGAAGATTTTCCCCATCTTGTTTAGCAGACTTCAGAAAGCTAA